CTGCCCTTGAGTTGACTGACGAGGAGGTACTCGAGCGTCTTCAGAAGATGCTGAAAGGAGCAAGCGTCGTCCCGCTTACTGTCTTCGAGTACTATGCAAACAACCCGCCTCCAGCTGTAAGTTGTTTTCTCTTTGTGCGGGTACTTTTTGTATTTCTTTTGCTGTATCCATTTTTGCTTAATCTTCCTTGTCTTGTTGTTTTATTCTTTTTGTAGGAATTGGGGCGTAATTTTGTTGATCCGATCCCCCTTGATGCCTGCCCTGCCATTGTGGGGACTGGGGATGGTCTTGCTGGGGCTTCTTTAACCAGTAAGTTTCAAACCACCATAATGTTTCCTAGCGTTTCTTCTGCGGTTTCTGATGTTTATGTGGAGTATGTTCCTCGTCCAGTTCCTCGAGGCCCTCGCAGTGTCGGAAAGAGGGGGCGAACTGAAAGTTCTTCTTCTGGTTTGTCTTCTGCTAAGAAGTCTCGCCAGTCGAGTACTCGTCCAGGTACCCCAGTTGTAGCTAGCATGCTCTTAGGTGAGCATATTAATACGCTCTGTCCTTTTGTTTTTTGTTTTTGTCTTTAACCGAGTACTTTTGTCCTTTTTCAGCTGGTGCTTTGGCAACCTTGGTCGAGAGTGAGGAGGAAGAGGATGATGATGCTGCCCTTGTTACTCGTTGGTGAGTTGTTTTCTTGCTTTCCAGTAGTTGAAACCCTCTTTTTGTTTTGACTTTGGTCTTGATCTCTTTGTAGTAAGCGGTCGTTGGGTACGAGTTCTTTCGGGGCTCCAGCACCGAGTTCCTCTGGGATTCTGGTACCGAGTTCCTCTGGGGCTCCGGTATCGAGTTCTTCTGGGGTTCCGGTACCGGCTACGCCGCTCCTATCGCAGAGTGGCGGTGATGTCTTTGCTGCCATAGTCCCTCCTTTAAAGTCTTCTTTTGGTTTTATGAAGAAGAAGATAGCTGAGTAAGTGATTCCTTGCTATGCTTCTTTGCTTCTCTTTTCGTTTTTCCCTGATTCATATTCTTATCGTCGATTTTTCTTATCATCTTGCAGACCCTCGCCTTCCCTTAACCCTCCGCCAACTTCTTCTCAGTCCTCTGACCTGCCTCTACGCGCTGAGTCTCAGGACTTGGAACGCACGGTTGGTGAGGTGGCTGTGAGCGAAGCTAGGTCCCCTGCTGCCGCTGATCCTGTTGCTCCGGAGGTGACCGTGGCCACGGCGGTGGGTACTTCTGAGGAGGTAGCTGGGGCATCCCAGGATACAGCCCTGGTTTTGGCTTCTTTGCCTGCACCGATTTCTCCCTCTGCTCCCCTTGGAACCAGCAGTCAGCGCTTGGACGACGATGTGTTGCTGCAGTTCGATGCCACTCATCGTTTGTCGGAGTTGACTGCCGCTTGGGGGGCTCTTTCGACTTCCTTTGGTGAAAAGCTCCAGGTAAGTTTTTCTAGAGTTCTTTCTTTGGATATTCATCTTTGTTTTGTTCTTATGCCTTTTCTCTCTCTCTCTCTTTTTGTTCAGTCCTTTTCTCGGGATCATACCGGCTTCCTTTTCTTGTCTGAAAACGAGAAAAAGTTGTCTTCTGAGGTAAGCGCCCTGAAGGCAGAGCTTGATCTCTATCGGGCCGAGATGGATACTGAGCGCCAAACGCACCAAAAGGAGGAGAAGGCTCTTCATGCCCGGGTGGTAGAAGCAGAGAAGCAGAAGGATGCTACGGTGGAGTCCCTGAAGAACGAGTGCAAAGGTATTGCGGGTTCTTTTTGTTTCCTTACGTATTATGACTTCCCTTTCTGCTGACTTGTTTTTTTTCTTTTGTACTCTGATTTTCCTTTCTGCTGACTTGTTTTTATTGCCTGGTTTAGCTCTCCGAGTTGAAAAGTAGAAGCTCTCGGAAGGTATCGAGGAAATGAAGACCACCGCCCGCAATAGTCACAACAGGGCTGAGGAGGTAATTACTCGTGCTGAAGAAGAACTTGCGCTAGCCAAACTGATTAGGCGTGGAGCTAACAGAGATCTTGTGCAGGCCCAAAAGACTGTTCAAGACTTGACTAGTAAGTTGGCGATGGCTACTGAGAACTGGAATGCTTTGTGAAAATTATTTTGGTCAGTAGCTGGTCTCCTCCAGACTTCAGCGAATGATGGTCAGTCTTGGGGTCAGTTTATCCCCCAGGTTCCGACCCGTTTCCAGGAGTTCGTGAAGAGGTGCGCCCAACTGTGTACTAGGAATGTTCTTGCCTAGGTCCAGGTTCTTTCTCCAGAGTTTCCCCTGTCCAAGATTGCTGATGAAGCCGAAAGTCAAGAATATGTTGATGCTGTTGAAAGGGCGGAGCCTGAGGTCGAAGATTTAGCCAGTAGGATAGTTGATAATCTTAATATTGACATTTCTTCTCCTGATGGCAATGCCTGATGTAATTGACCTTTATTCTCCAATTTCTGTAATAAGATACTATAGTGGTTTTTGAATGAAGATTCTTTATTTTTTGGACGATGTCTTCTTTGTCTGGATGTCTAAGCCTTGCTTTATTCTTTGAATGAGTTGTCCAGGTAATCAGAATTTTCTCTGAGTAGTTGTTTGTTCTGGCTCTCATCTATGTTGTGTGATCCACTCGGTGTATGTTGATCGTTGTCTTGACAAACTTACTTGATTTGCCTGGTGCTTGTCTTGTAAACAACTCAGGGTAAGTAGAACTTTGTCTTGACAACCTTTTTGTTCTTGTCAGTATTGAAAAGACTTGGGGCCGGGGATCTCAAGTACTTTCAGCTTCTTCTTTTCGGCTTTTTGGCTTAACTCGAGATGTGGCCAGCGTCTGGTACTTTCCCTGATTGCAAAAACATCTTTGGCTTACCAGCTACCCTCTTCGACAAGCCCCCGAACACTTCATGGTTGAGCTCTGGAAGCCTCGTCTTTTTCCTTTAGGTCTTGCCGAGTAGAAACAAGCATCGTCCGAGTGCTTTCCTTAGTGAAACCATGTAGCGCTTCCTAGGATCTTCGAATAGTTCGGGTGTTAGCTTATTAGCTACCCTCATCGATGGGCTCAAGCATCTTCTCAGCTCTTTTGCTCTCGGCCGGTATGCTCAGGTATGTTTCAGCCATTTTGCTTTTTGGTTCGGGTGTCAGCTTATTAGCTACCCTCATCGGCGGGCTTAAGCATATTTTCAACTCTTTTGCTCTCGGCCGGTATGCTCAGGCATGTTTCAGCTATTTTGCTTTTTGGTTCGGGTGTCAGCTTATTAGCTACCCTCATCAGCGGGCTTAAGTATCTTTTTCAGCTCTTTTGCTCTTGGCCGGTATGCTCAGGCATATTTCAGCCATTTTGCTTTTTGGTTCAGGTGTCAGCTTCTTAGCTACCCTCATCGGCGGGCTCAAGCATATTTTCAGCTCTTTTGCTCTCGGCTGGTATGCTCAGGCATGTTTCAGCCATTTTGCTTTTTGGTTCTGGTGTCAGCTTATTAGCTACCCTCATCGGCGGGCTCAAGCCATTTGACTTATATTGTGAGCATACTGTACTGCCGGATTATTATCGCAGTATAACTTAAGTGGTCTATAGATGTCGTCAACCACCTTCAAACTGGGTATGAACTTCTTTAGCCAGTTCACCTGCCCCGTTGCCTCATAACACGCTACAAACTGTCATACATTGTGGACGATGTAGTGACGGTTTGCTTTGAGCTTTTCCATGAAATAGCTCTCCTTTGCGAGAGTGAATACATATCCCAACGTGGATTTTCTATCATCTCCCGCATAATCAGAATCTGAATATCCCACTATATGGAGTGAATCAGATCTTCTATACGTCATCATGAGGTCTTTCGTTCATTGTAAATAATGCAAGACTTTCTTTATTAATTTCCAGTGTTCTGTTCTAGAATTGCTCTGGAATCTGCCAAGTAACCGGTAACAAATGCCAAATCAGAGCGCGTACAAACTTGAGCATATTGCAAGCTTCCGACAGCTGAAATATATGGAACCACTTTCATTTGATCGATCTCATATTGGTTTCTGGGGCATTTAAAATCCCCATATCTGTCGCCCTTGACTATAGGAGCAGATGAGGGACTATATTTGTGCATACAGAATTTCTTTAGGATCTTTTCTATGTATGCCTTTTGTGACAGTCCTTATACCCCTTTACTTCTATCTCGGTGACTCTCGATCCCTAGAACAAATGAAGGTTCACCAACATGAGGCCGTATTCATGATGTTTATTCCAAATCTTGTTGTTGCCGTATGGAATTTTGAATACCATTTCATGTGAGTTCCTGGATACGGCCTCAACATACGCTAAACATCATGAATACCATTTTTTGAATGACCAAATTCCATTATTGCATGTACGTGCAGTTCAAATTTGGAATATTCGAAAAAATTCAACGAAACAAAAATAATTAAGGAAATATAGTAAAAAACTCAAAATTGTCCCAAATTTTGAAATAGAGATACAATTACTGTAGCAAGGCCCCACAAAAATGGGGCCAAAAAAACAAAAAAAAATTAATTTGCCGAGTGACACCCTTGGCACTCGGCAAAGAAGTCTTTGCCGAGCGCCAGGGCACGTGGCACTCGGCAAAGAATTTAAAAAAAAATAAAAAAAAATTCTTTGCCGAGCGCCAAACGGCGGGGCGCTCGGCAAAGGCTGACGGCAGGTGGCCGTCGTCACGCTGGCCACCTTTGCCGACGACCGCAATTTGTCGAGCACCCGGCACTCGGCAAATTTTTTTTGCCGACGACCAATCTTTGCAGAGCGCCTGGCACTCCGCAAAGGCAGATTTTTGTCGACGGCCAATCTTTGCCGAGTGCCCGGCACTCGGCAAAGGCAGATTTGCCGACGGCATTTCTTTGCCGAGTGCCGCTGGGTCTTGCTCTTGGCAAAGACTGCCTTTGCCGAGTGCCCGATGGAATACACTCGGCAAACTTTTTTGCACTCGGCAAAGTAGTTCTCTCCGGTAGTGAAGGGAGGAGATGAGAAACTGAAATTGCAGTAGGAGAGATGTATCACACGCAGACTGCTGCTCCTATCTGGCCGGATGCTCAAACATGCTAGCTTCTAGGACCCGGGTTCTGTTCTGGCCAATTGTTGATGATGGTGCAGCTGCTGTCCAGAAAAAGGATGTTGCCTGACATGGCACTTGGAATTTACTTGCTTTCTCGGAGTCGGAGGTGGCCGAAACCCAGCGATTGGTACGAATCCACTGTTCACCACTCAGCACTTTACATATTCCTTGAGCACACCGATTACACAAATCCCAGTTCACGTTCCTCTGCAAAGCATTGCCAATCTCCCATGCCGACCTACCACCATTAGCGGCATCCTGTATGATCCCATCACATACCCAATAGTTGGATGCATGGGACTCCCAGTTGATGTTGTGGTCATTGTCTCTCGCTGCCCTATACAAGATACATTCCATAACAATCTTAGGGGTCATGTCCGGTTCAGGGACACCTGTGTACTTAGCAACCTCCTCGGCCTCTGCATACATAAAGTTCCTAACGATAGGAAGCAAACCAACTTGGCCAAGCTTAAACAATGGTGATGGAGCAAGAAAGATAGATACATCGCTCAATTTAGCTGACTCCAATTCAGCTGGCGCCAATTCCTCTCCATGCCAATCTTTGGCATGATGCCAGAACCTGCCTCGGGATGTCCACAGCACCCTCCTGCTCAATTGCCCGATTACAGGGACACCGGCCTCCCACATCGATGTAGCTGCCACTTCCATTGTGCAAAACCACAAGGAAACTGCAATCACTAAGTTCCTTCATGATCACTGCCTTGACATAGGGAATCACACCTCTAGCACTTTGCTCTACCCCGTCAAAATCATCTTCTTCATCATTCTTGTCAAACAAGGCCATCACCTGCCGGGGTAGCACCACCAGCTCCTCTGCAATCGCCTTCTGCAGGGCTCTCTTGCTTTGCCACCGTGAGAAATCAATGTGGATGATCTTTCCCAAGAGCCCTGTTGCCCCAGTGTTAGCCGATCCTGATGATGATCTTAGTCGTTCCACGACCGTTTTCAGTATAGCGGACGCTCCAAATCCATAAGAGCCATGGAAGTATATTACATCTCTTCCCTCGTCCGAGTCCTCTAAAAAACGAATTATCTGCTCTGCTGCGCCATCTATGTTGTCTGCCTTGAGTATGATCCTCTGCAATATATAATTACTACTAATTAATTTGACAAGGCTGGCGTATACTGTTTTATATGTTTTTATTATATTATACTAAGGGGATGGATTATGTAGTACAACCCCATATCTTGAATAATCAAGACTCTAGAAAAAGCTATGCCTTATATTTTGAGAGAGATAGTGGACTATAGATTATGTGTTTTACAGTACAGAAGCAAGAAAACTTTCCAAACTTTGTGCTGCAGTTAAATCTTTTTTTTTAACAAAAGTATATATATTAATATAACTCGTCAATATTTGCGATATGAAAGATAGAATCAACAAATTTTATTCTTGATCAATTTTTTTTTTTGAATATTCTCGATCAAAATTGAGCATGTCCATAGCTAATTGCTCAACAAAATAGAGGAATTTAATCCGTGCGAAGCATACGGCCATACGCCAAGCAAGCAATATGTGGAGAAGTAGTCACTGACTGATTTACCTCCGTTGGCATGATGAATTGGTTTGTCGCCTCTCTGGGGCTAACTAGTTGTACAAGCTAGGCCAGGAGCTCTATCTGAATATACAGTTCCAGATTTTGACGTCAGAAATGCATGCATAGCAGCACTAAAGCACCAGATTTCCTCCTCCAGACTTCACTCCAGTAAATGGATATCTCCTACACATACAGTGTATACAAAGTAAGTATACTAGTTAAAAGATGGAGAAAAACATGCATTCCTGATCCCGGCCCTCACATCGAAAACTTAGTAAAAACTTTTAACCATATTAATAATTAACCCATGGATATATAGATGAACTTGCATTGGAAAAGCAGACAGAATTACTAGTAAATTACCTAGATCACGACGACGTTAAGATAACAGGCAGCGACGAAGTATGTACTCCTATCTGGTGTCATCCTTGCAAATAGCTCCACAGTGCTATAATGTTTGCGGAGCAGACAGATGCGCCACTAGAATGAGTGCAGGTGCAGCGTTTGCATTACATCTGACACGGTATGTTCCTTGCTTCCTGTTTGCTTTATTTGCTTTATTTTGTTTTCTGCAAAGCATAATTATCACTCACCAGATTCTTTTCTTGTAGCATCACATTTCTTTATCTAAAGAGAAAGGTTAAAGTAAAGAGCTGTTAAAATAGTCTTGTCTGTCAGTCCGGCCGGGGCCACGGATCAGGTGGTGTAATCTTTTCTTTTTCTTTTCTTTTTCATTTTTGATGTAACTGATGAGTAACTGACCAATAGATTCTTTTCGTGTAAGTGACCAACTAACGTTCACCAATCTCTTTTACTTTTCTGTTAAATAGTTGTTTCGACTTGCCACATGAAAAATAACATCAATAGATTTTTTTCTGCAACAAAAAAAAAACAAGCATGTCCGTAAAAAAATCACAAAAAAAATATATAATCTTCGAATCTGAATGTATGCATGGTCAAATGTGCTCATGACCATGCATATTGAAACATCACGTGATCCCTGGGCTTGTAGTCGCATAGACTTGTGGGTCATGTATAGAACGGACTGCGACTCTAATCATGTTACGTGCATACCTCAATGTAAATTCGATATGTCCTGTATATAAGTCCATCAACTCGTGCTCTTGCACGGGTTAGAATATGACAAGTACAATATTGGCAATATAACCCTTGCAACAGGTGTGAAGAAGCTTATCATTGGTTCAAACCGGACTTGGTAGCTTAAGCAAATCAATTCAGTTCAAGTCAACCATAGAACCTCATGATAATGATAAGAGTACAAGTACAAGACAACAATGCAAATTAATATCTAGTTTGGTTGTTTCAAGTGGTATCTAGACTCAAGTATTTCATCAAATTCACAAGTGATGTCTAGATCAATTCACAAGTGATATCCTATAAGTGGCACTCATGAAGATAGCAAATATTCAGGAAATGGTTTTTATTGATAAATCCAACAAGTGGTTTCATACTAGAAATTCTTTCAAGTGGTATCACATCTACACGTGGTATCAATCATGAAAGACGATGGTTCCACAAGTGATTCTCAACTTTAAATTATCATCAAATGAAGAATGCATCCCTCACCTGCAAGAGCTCAAGTATATCAAATGGATGACCCATGCTATCACATAGGAAAAGGTGTCACACAAATTGATACCAAGATTAAAGATCCTATGTGTGGTATCTCAAGAAGCCCTACACAAGATACAAGTGGTACAAGTTACAAGTTGTATCTACAAGTGGTGTCATTCCAACAATCAAGTGATGTCCATAAAAAATGCAAGATTCAAGACTCAACCATCTACCCCAAATGCATACCTTTGCATCAATGAGAAGCACACCTTTTATGAAAATTGATGACAAAGGGGGAGAGATTGTATAAAGATATGAAAGCTTTGAGATTAAGATTGTACAAGGGGGAGAGATAAGATATGAAAGATTTGGAAGAGATTGAGACAAAGAAATAGAGGTTGGACATGGACATGGACAAAGAGGGAGCAACATTGAAGAAAAGAGATGAATCAAAATTCTTGAACAAGAGAACCACACAAGTATGGGGAGCAAGCTCATGAACTTTGATTGATCGCATTTGATATGTGCATATTCATGTGCTTGCTTGCATTGCATAAGTTCTTAAATTCAATATGCATGCTTATGTGATGTATGCTAGTTATAGAATTTGATTGATGAAATAAAAACTAGCATGCATAGGATGATAGCTAGACACTTGGTATGTTTTTTAAGTAATGCTAGTACCTTGCCTTTAATGTTGATCTCATGAGGTATCTAGTGCTTTTTATTTTCAAGTGTTATCTAGCTAACCATGGTACTAAGGATGAACTTAAAGGTGCAACTCTGATTGGTATCACACTTCAAAGGTTTACTCTATACACCTAGGGATCATTTGGTAGTAATTACTCTCCCACAATTTCAATCTATGCATATGTGCGAGCTTAAAACCAAATACTCTAACACATATGCAGGGGGAGCTAATACTACCATTTTGGGTTTGTGGTACTTGTTTACACATGGTAAAATTGTTTGGGCAAGCAACATGAATCCAAAAGAGCTTATTTTCCATATATTTGTAGAGTTGTCATCAATTACCAAAAAGGGGAAAATTGAAAGGTCCTTGTGTGGTTTTGGTAATTCAGTGACAACCTAGGTAGACTAATTGTGTTTATGTGAGATACACAGGTGATTAGTCCACAGGTACATGTGTGTGAGCAACATATGCCATGAAGGTGTAAATGGCTCAAAGATGTTGTAAAGCTCACACATGTGATGATGATGAAGCTCATTGGACATGAGACATGACATTGAGTCATGTGATCAAGGTGGAGAAGATCAAGACATAACTTGGCTTGATAGACCGGTTGCAAGCGTGAAGGGTAAGTCAGAGGCTTTGGAGCGATGGACCGCGTAGCGGTGAAGCTTTTGCAAGACTTGGCGCCGATGGACGAAGGCAACGGTGAAAAGCAAGTGAAGTCAAGATCGATGAACCAATATGATCACGTGATGATATGGAGTGGAGCATATCATTGTTGCTCATGTTGGTGCATGTGTTGCATCGACATTGGAGAAGATGGAATGGAATGCGCAAGGCAAAGGTATAATCTAGGGCATTTCATTTTGCCGGTCATATGTGTGTAGTGAAGTTGATGACTGGGTTTAGGATAGATGGCCATACTATCAAGAGGGGCAAACTTGTTTGTATATCGGTCATCTAGTGCCACTTGAGTGATCTAACTTTGCATCGTCGCTAGGATCGAGTGACGTGGCAAGTTCAGTGGCTAATCCTTTGGAAAATGTTTGTGAAAAGCTAACACATATATACATGGTGGTGTACACTTGGTGGTGTTGGCACATATGCAAAGAAAAATAAGTTGGTGAAGAAAAGGAGTTAGTCACACTGGTCACAGAGTGACCGGACGCGTCCGGTGTGGCTACCAAACGTGTCCGATATTCTATCTAGACTTCGGGTTGTCAGATGGAAGTGACCGGACGTGTCCGGTATGGTGATTGGACACATCCGATATTTGGACCCGAGGTGAGCGACTAAGTGAAAGTGACCGGACTCTGGCTCAGTGGAGTGACCGGACGCTGAGGAGTTACTGTTCACCGTTCGGTCAAAGAGACATAGCCTAAGGCAGGATCGTAGACAGCGACCGGACGCCGTCCAGTATGACTCAGCAACTCTCGGGTTTCAGCGCTATAATTGATCGGACGCTGGGAGCGTCCGATCTGGTGTGACCGAATGCGTCCGGTCAGCCCAGAGCGGCTCTAGGAGCTCTCTGGACTCGACCGAAAGCTGCGTCCGGCCGTTTCCTAACAGCGCGTTTGATGCGACATATCAGAGAGAGCCGTTGGCGGCAACGGCTAGTTTGAATGGGACAAGTGGTGGTCAGGCAGCGACAGGACGCGTCCAATCACCTCCGGACGCGTCCAGTGCACACGACCTGCGCGTCCGGTCATCCCAAAAAATGCCCAGTGAAGAGGTAACAGCTATTTTAGCCCATGGGGCTATAAATAGAAGTGGTGGTCGGCCTTTGGCCATAAGATGAGCACACTAGAGCCTTGGTGGCTTATGTGGTAGTGCTTGGGTGCCCTCTAACTCACTCTAGCTTGATAGTGTTCATCCGATTGAATGAGTGAGCGATTCTAGTGCGATTGCATCGTGAGGTTGTATCGAGTGGCACTAGGTGGTCGTCTTGCAAGCCGGTGGTGCTTGTTACTCTTGGAGGTTGCCACCTCCTAGACGGTTTGGTGGTGGTCTCCATCGAAGCCCGCAAGAAGCTTGTGCGGTGCTCTGGAGAAGAGCTTTGTGAGGGGCATTATGCTCGCTCTGCGGGAGCCACGAAGAGCAACTCTAGTAAAGCGTGTCATTGAGCTACCCTCACTTTCGGGGTAGGTTCTTGCGACGCCCGACGTGCGGGCTTGGCGGGTGATGCTAATTAGCCGCTAAACCACCAAGTGAGCGGTCGACACAACGGGGACTAGCGTGTTGGCAAGCACGTGAACCTCGGGAGAAAAATCACCGTGTCAACTTTGTTCTTCCCTTTGGTTTGCAATCCCCTTACACAAGCTTGTAGTTACTCTCATATACATTGTGCTTGTGTAATTGTTTTTATAATTAGTTAGCTTGTGTAGCTCACTAGTTACGTTCTTGCTTGTGTAGCATAAGAAGTAGCTCTCTTGCGTGGCTAATTTGGTTTGTGTAACCCTGTTAGTTATATTGCTTAGTTTGTGTAGCTAAGCATTTACGCTCTCTAATTTAGCATTGGTTGCCTTGTTATTGAGCATTGCTAGTGAGCTTAGGAGCTTTGTGCTTTTGCTTACTAGCATGTGTAGGAGCTCCCTCGTTGCTTAAAGTACTAGTGCCATAGGTTTGTGTAACCTTGTTTCTAGAATTGGTTAGGTGAGTTCTAACTAGTCCGGCACCTTAATTGTTTTTTAGGATCTTTGCAAGGTGCTAGAGAACATAGATAGATGGGTGTAGTCTTGGCTAGACCGAT